ATAGATACATATATATATAAATATAAAATATATATATATATATAAATTTATATACAATATGCATATATATATATACTTGTATATAAATATGAATATAAAAATACATATATATATATATATGCATGCGTGTGTGTGGTTTGGCAGACTCCGTAAAAATACAAGCGCTCTCAGCCAAGTATGATGAGATTTGACTATCATCAAGTTACGATTGGATGGCAATTGGTCACTGAAACGAACAGGTTGTTGTACATAACGCATTCGTGTGTTACTGTGCGTGTCAGATGGTGCTCTGATTGCTGAAGACATTCTATTACGGGAGGAACAAAGTCGGGTGCGGCGAATATCGAGTTTTTGTCCTCGAAGCGCTCGCCACCCGAAACTACGTTTAGCATGGTTCACATAAACCAATTTAGCATGGTTCACATAAACCAGTGAATACTTGTATAGAAACAGGCCTAATCTTGTCCCGATGCATACTCGACTCAGACTCACCTTGGGCTCTTTGCGGTCACTCTCCGCAGAGTCGGATAGCTTTCGCTTCAGTGTCGTCGTTGAGACTTCACTTGTCGTATATGTCGTGTTGGTCGTAGTAGTATCCGTGTCTGAGATTGCTACAGACTCGCGTTCACTTGCAGTCACATCCGACACGTGTTCATTGGATATACTTTCGTGTGTACCGGAATCGGGTACGTTTTCCGCACCGCCGGGTACGACTATTCCCGAGGTATGTCCGTTTTCTGCACTACCGGGTACGACTACTCCCGAGTTGGGTACGTTTTCTTCGGTCGACAACGATGGCACAGTGGGCGCTGCTTTCTCAACTAATAACTTCGCCATCCGCTCCTGACGTTCTCGACGACGGCGCTGTTGTATAGGGAGTCATTTGCATTAGAGTGATTTTTTTAAAATGCCACAGTACTTGTATTTGTTTATGAATGGCACACAGTATGGAACAGTAGTGGACCACTGTCAGATGACAGACAAGTCATTGTACGCACGACTGACCAGCCTTTGCCAGCCTCAGTCTCAGTACTGTACATGTAGCTGGTATCAATGAAACATATCACGAGGATCCCGAGTGAAGGCTGCCGAATAAGAACGGCACGATATGGCTATTTCCGATACACTTATGTTACATGGTCAACGCATTTGAATGCTCTGACAGTCGCACACACACTTCTCTCGAAGCGATGCAGCTGACATCCTTTAAACACACATACGAACTACGACGGTACCTATATACGCACCCATAAGTATTCACATGCACAGAATTAGCTTCATATGTACCCCCCCCCCCGCCACACACACCTCGACTTTCTTGACCTACATTAAGAGGCCGCACAATACATGCACACGCACACATGGCGTACGTATCCACAGATCAACCCCTGCGAAAACCCACACGCATATGTAACTCGAACTGGACACTCATAGCATTCAACTTACTTACACGAGATCTTCACCTTTAAGGACTGCGCTTCTATATATACCTGTACGAACGCTGCGTTGTACGCTTACACCAACAACCCCTCATAGATATATCAATGTTTGTTGTACGCAAAAGCGGCACTCAGCACAGACCATCCACACTTCCAACAAACAAATTGCTATAAATAAACACACACACGCATATATATATATATATATATATATATATACATATATAAATATATATATATATACATTACCTCAATCAGCGCGTCTTCGTCCTCGCTTTCTTCCTCCAAAGCAGCCTCCACCTTCTTGATATACGCAGCTACCTCCTCCTTGGACTCCTCCTTGGACTCCTCCTTCACTTTCTCCTTGACGGGTGACCGTGATCGGTCTCTCCTACGCCCATCCCGCCAGTCTCGTCCATCTTTATTCCTGTCTCTATATGAGCCGCCTCTGTACGCACCCCTATCCCTATCTCTATCCCGACCTCTGTCCCTGTCGCGCACTCTGTCTCTCTCTCGCCCTTTTTCTCGTTCGCGTTCGCGTTCGCGTTCACGCTCTTTCTCGCGGTAGTTATCGTTTCTGCTACGGCCATCTCTCTCCACGTCTCGCGCCTTACTCTCGCTCTCTCTGGCTTTACTCTCTCGACCTCTGGATCTACTCTTTTTGTCTCTGGATCTACTCCTCCGATCTCTCGTCTTACTCTCCCGATCTCTCGTCTTGCTCTCCCGGTTGCGCGTCTTGTCCCTGTCCTTCTCGTCTGTAGCTTCCCACTCCCCATCCCGCCCGGTTACCTTCTCCGTGTCTCTCTGTCTATCCTCTCCGCGGCCATCCCGTTCGCGCGTGCGACTACGCTCTCGTCCCTTTTCAGCCGCCCTACTCACCCCTTCACCTCTGCCACGACTGCTATCGCGCACACGGTTACCCTTGCTATCCGCCACACGCTCGTCCATGTCTCGGTCTTTCTTACTCACCGCCCCCTCGTCTCTGCTGCTCTTGCGTGCATCCCTGCTTTCGTGTGTATCCTCGGTCTTGCTCGACTTTATCCCCCTTCGTTCTCTATCCTTCTCCTCCCGCGTGCGGTGCTTCCGCTCGTCTTTGCTCTTCTCCCGAGTACTCCCATAAGTACTCTTCTTCCGCGTGCTCTCAGATCTACTCTTCTCTCGTGTGCTCGTGCACTTTCGATCCGTTCCATTCTCCTTACTACCAGGCTCCATGTCCTTCACCGCTGCCACGCTCGGACTAGACGTACTGCCCTTCTGCTCACTATCGCTGGAAGCATTCACCACCACAGCATCATCAGCATCACTCACCCCCCCCTCACTCCCACTACGCTGTTCACCTTCCTCGCGGGTGTGTCCATTGCGTACACGCACACCCTTATCCGTACTGTTGTCATCGTCCGTCGGTGGCGCCACACCACTCACTTCCGCGTGAGGGTGCACCGACCTATCGCGAGTCGCGCTATCGTGTACTTCCCCAGCACTCTCGGGTGTCTCTGGATCGCTTTCGTGTCGTTTGCCATCTCCTTTGTGCGTGTCTGAACTCCCCTTCTCGACATGTCCGTTCCTTTTGACCTCGTCTAAGGTACCATCCTCCACTTCATCCTCCTTGTCCTTCGTTTTCTTCTTCGCCGCACCGTCGCTCGCACTCGCGTCCTCGTCCGAGCCATACACCACCAGCTGCACGCACACGTCTGGGTCACTCTCGCTATGGCCTGAGCTGGAATGCCTAGACTCTCGTCTACGCTTGCTTCCCTTGCGCTTGGACTTCCGCTTGCCCGACCGAGACGACCCCTTCTTATGCTTGTGCCTCTCCTTATCTTTATCATGATCCTTGTCGCCGTCCCTATCCCTGCGACTGCTGTGCTTATCATCGCTCTCTCGTCGATGCCTATGCTCGCGTGTCGTGTCCCGGCCGCTTGCACGCTTGCCATCTCTCTCCTCACCACGTTCACTATCCTTCCGTTCAAAATATGCATGTGCGTGTGCGTGTGCATCCCCTTTCTCTCGATACTTGTCGCCATCTCTGTCCCGGTGCCCATCTCTGCCCCTCTCCTTATCCCCGTCCTTATCCCTACCGCTGCGACTGTGCTTGCGCTCTCGCTTATTCTCTCGTTTGCTCTCCTCCTTGCTCTTGCGCTCGAGCAACTCCTTTAGCCGCCGCTTCTCAAAGTACTCCATCTTCAACTCTCGTTCCCTGTCGCCACCCACTACACTCCCTAACCCCCCCACAGCTTCCCTCTCCCGGTATGTATCCGTATGACTATCTCCAGACCTTCCCTTCTCCGTATCTGTGCCTTTACGCCCACACTCCTCATAGCTACCCTCAGTTTTTCCACCACGGCCACTTTCTGCACCACTGATCACTTCGCCATCCTCCGTGTCGCTGCCACTTACGTGTGTGTCCTTTGCATTCGACATCATGTAATGCTGTATATCTACTATATAAAATACTATATGTAAAACGGTGCCTGTTGTCAGCGATGTTTCTAACTTGGGATCTTAAGCGCAAGGTGATCTACAAATACGTATGTATGCGCGGATACAGACGATCTCGTTTGTGTGCTGAAATATATTTCAGTAGACTGAAACCAATTGTTTATTGAGAGGTATAGTCCCGTGTTGTAACGGCGCTAAGTATGCGATATGTGCGATATACATGTACATAGAGTATTCATACGTCTGATTTGATTAGGCTTATCGTATCAGTAGATTGATGCCGGGTGCGGAGAGGCACATCAACCTAAATGAGACGTTAATCAGGAGTTTTCTATTGCACTATATATGTTGTAGTACTTGTGGCATGCATACATAGATTTATACGTCTGACCCACTCACAGTTCTGGATATACTGATAAAGAGCGAGGGCAGTGTACACACCAGCGATACTGATACGCTATTGAGATGCTCCGATTGTCATCGCTGTTCAACTATACTAAAGTGGGGTGGTGTTCAGCCACAAGTCACTGTGTATAAAGATAGACGCACCAGAAATAGCCTTCAAAGGCCGTGTGAATACGCTCTCCCTTGTATACATATACAAGGATTGCATGTGTACATGCACGCAACATACACGTATCTAAATATATATATATGTGTGTGTAGCCTTTTGTCGGTGTATTGTACTGTACGATAGTGTAAATACTCTTTTCGCGTGAGGATCTATCCTCAATCCGTTAAAAAGGACACAACTTGTGCTAAACGTAATTGATTATTCATTCAATTTCCACGTTAAACATGTACAGTATCTATACTTCGTGGTATAAACGTTGAAGACTTGAAGGTAGACATACTATTCTCAAAGCATATACGTTTTAACGTATACCATGTTAGGTTAGATGTTGCAAACCACTTTGGGTAAACAGACAGTAGGGTTTCGCGTCCACATTCCAAAACATATAACGACATACCCTTCAATTTTTTAAACTATAATGAACATTCATTCGCTCCATACATACGTATATCTGTCGTACATTCTTTTGGCCTTGATGTATCTATCGCTACACACACACAAGTGATCCAAACGCTGTATACACATGATACCGTGGTAATGTCGATGCGAGATAGAGGGCGTGGTCGCGGTGGCCATCCCTATGGCAATCGATTACCACGCAATAGACCGAGAACTACCGACGATCCTGCAACTAAACTCTATGTCGGCAACTTAGATCACAGGATAAACGAGTAAGTACCTGAGTATTTGCATGTTTATACATGTGTATGTGCACATCGATATAGGAATAGGAAAACGTATATTCTATAAAGGAAAGGAAGTTTTTATGTGTGCGTATTTGTGTGAACCTTCCCAACAATGTCACAAGATTTTTCTCTTTGGGTTTCCCATACGCAATGCAGACCGTGCATGTCAACACAGGAACCATAACTTTACCTGATGTCGAAGTATACATATTCTGATCTTCACTTACGAGGCCGCCTTAAGATGGTATAACCATAACCATTTAGAGATTGCAGGCCCGTTCAGTTGTCCAGAGGCTTTTGCATGCGTTAACAACCTCCTGGGTAGTGTCATATATTCCCGTCTCGATAATCGATTCTCCACACACCAGTCCGGATTTTCTGGGCTCATTCCTAAATATGCGAGGCTATATTTAGAAAATTTAGTAGCATAATCTAGCGTATAGTCATTTATCGAATATCTAGTTGGCCATGCTGAGGTAGTCCGTAATTATATACCACTGTCGTGTCCCACGACGGTATTACTCATATATTTCATTCATAGCCATTGTCCATAGTATCAGTAGAATTCAAATTGGTATACAAACTACCTTGCACGTACGACTACGTCTCCTATGTATACGCATCGGTGTCAGGAACGATATGATTGCATGTATCTGGTCGCTGGCATGGCTCTGTTCGAAATATTGACAAGCTAAAATTAACAGCCTTCTCATTTCTATACATAAAACCGAAACTTGAATGAGTATGCACCTGTACATAAATTTTTATGTATAGTACGTATTATTCACTACTTGTGCGCAAATGGATATTATATATATATATATATATATATATATATATATATATATACTTCTCATTTACACCCGCGTATCTGTGCCATACCACGTATCCATTCTGTACAAAGAATATATTATTCGACTATGAACAGGTATATTCACAGCACACGCACATGTTGTGAACTATTTGTACAGATATATACTTGTAAATACGCAGTGATATGTATGTGTCTACGTGTGTAGACATGAATCCATGTTCCAGCTCTATTTTTCCTCGCTCCCTGCATGTGGATCTGACCCACCTATATCTGTCTCACAGGTTTGTATTTATCACTTTCTTATCTATGTATATCTAGACAGCATTACATTACCGACTTTGGTCTGAGTGCGAACATACAATATCTCTATTTAACTCGTCAAGAGAGGACGGCAGCTTTCATTTCGTCATTTCGCACTAACACGCTATGCATTCGCATTGTGTTTATAGGGGCCAGTTATTCAAAATCTTTGGCAAATTTGGCGATCTGAATCGGGTCGACTTCGTTTGGCGTCCAGATGGAAAGCCAGCAGTACGTGCCTATTTTAGTTCATCACAATTCTTCTGTGTCAACCTGTTGATTGTTAACTGTGCGCACTCGGTATAGCAGCTGGGATGTAGTGCTTGTATTGGAGGGGGTGTTAGGTGAACAATGGCTGATGTTAATTTATGTGTAGTGTGAGTGTCTCCTTAGGCACCCCTTTCTCCACAGGGCCTGTGGAGGGTGTAAAAAGTAAAGTATCAGTCGAACTGGCTAATTCTTGACCGGCTATTTAACATTGTGCTATGTATGTATGTACTACATGGATGCATGGCTATCCAACCCGTTAACACACACTCCTATTGATACTAATTACGTATGCTGCCCGTGTATATACCTTGGGGGCTTGGTCCCGAGCAAACCATCGCGGGGCTGTTATGCACCTCTATTTGAAGAATTAGTGTACTAGTCTCCAACGCGTGGGTGAATACACCCTGCCTCCAGATCAAACCCCAGCACTGTCACACAGATGCTGCCTATATGTAGGTAGCATCTGCGATATATCTGTAGACAAACACATCCAGATGTGTTTGTGTACGGGTGGGTATGCAATTGCTGGCTGCGTTGGGTGTAGCCTCCAAACTAGTCGGCCGCGCAATAGCGAAGCTGTGCATGTGTGTGGTCCGTTACCCATGTTCGTGTATGTCTATTTATAGCTCGACTGGCGGGCGTACTCACGAGTTACACATAGAGACATTCTAGAGATCAACATCAACTGTTTTCGCATCTCTTAAATCCGTTTATAAATACACAGAACACGTCCACATGTCCCAGACAAAGCATTCACGAGTACATGGGCAACTGGGATCGAAGGTCGATTTTCAACTAACTTGTACACACGGGTGCTATATGTTCATTCTGACGCGGGTGTGGGATATAGTGTAGACAAACACACTGTGTTGCAACATAACATGTACAGCTACTTTGCCTGAAACGTGTATGTGTAAACGCTTTGTACTGCATGCAGGGCTTCTGCTTCGTCATATTCCAGACAGCCAGCGATGCAGTGAAGGCCCAGTTCAATGTCAACGGGCGCTTGGCCATGGGACGTCGTTTGGTCGTGTCGTTTGCCGAGGAAAAACCGACTACTAAGAAAGACAAGGATCAGTTTGGGAAGCGCAAGTTCAACGAAGGTGGGCTGATCGTTCTATTTTTAGTATTCGGATGTGTATGCCTATTTATACGTCTGCTTGTGTATATATTAATCATCGTGTGGTACTTATCATAGTATCATGTCAACTAGACGTCGCTTAGTCATGTGGTTCAACGAGACAAACAAATTGATTCGAAATACAATTATGGTTTCGGGGAGCGTGAATCGAATGAGAATCCTGGTTATTAACGTATATTAGTATTTAGAGGTATATTTGCACGTGTATGCACTTGGCGTTACGCACCGTGTTGTATGTATTCTAGTAGTAGTACCTCAACGAGCGTACCGGCATGACGTATTGGTTTTCAATCGCCTCATACCCAGGAGGTTCAAGGTCAGTCTATCCACAGTGTCAAGATGACACCAGAAAAAGGGGAAAGTGTGTTGAGAGGAGCTCTATGTCCGTATCACATTTCAGTATCGTCAGAATATATCGATGACTGCTATTGACTGTCGTTTGACATCCACGTATGCATTCACATATCCGGGGAGCACGGGTTCAATTCTTGCACAAGTGATATATGCCTCTGTTGTTTATTTTTTGCTTACTCCCACGGCATCTGGCCCAAGAGATAAGAACTGGTGCAGTTACAGTCTGATTATTCCCAATCACATATATCCTAAACCCTAAACCCTTGCCCCGCACACAGCCGAGAGTTCAAGTACAATTCGGTTGTTGGAGACGACTATGTCTCACTGAACTAGTAGAATGGGAAGGTCGCGATACGCGCTTACTAGTATTGCATTTCTCATTTTATCGCACACATTGTCGTGCCACGCCCAATAACACATGCTGCGTACAGCCGGGAGTTCAAGTACAATTCGGTTACTGGCGAAAAATGTACCACAAGACGCCAGTAAGGACGAGAAGATCAATGCGTTGCAAACAGCGCTCAACAAGATGAAACAGACGGGCACGCTGGCCCCAGAATTCTCCTCGAATGAGGTTGTTGATATGGCTAAGCAAAAGGTGTGCATGGGAGAGTGTCAGTGGGAGTGTATGTGACTAGATTCTAGATGCAGTTGAATGTTGATATATGTACACACTTGCGCGCCGGGAAAGTGTAGAGATGTCATCGACATATGGTATGATGCATCGCGATGGAGCGCCAATACCCATACTATTGATATGTAATATCCTTAAACTGAATGGTACACATATACTGCCTTTCTCTGATAAAATTCTGCGTTTGAGGACCAATGTGTACGATGAAATCGGCAGATCTAGAATCAATGTTGTGTAGTGACCCGAAACTTGGTACTTTTGGTTATACAGAGATCGAACCTACATATTTAGGGTTTAGGGTTTTAGGGCTAACCTTTTGCAGGTACAGAATACCGTGCGCGCAAACCCTGTCGACCTGGATGCAGTGGTGTCATCATGACTTCATGCTGCGTCCAATCTAAGAGTTTAGCGTCTGCCACATCGATAGCTCGCGAGTCCATGGCAGCATCTCTCAGCGCTAAAGGGTGGCCCATATATAAACATGCTTATCGTTACATGGTTGATTATCATCAGATACTAGTGTGTGTTACTCAGTTAACTCATCGAACGACTACCGATCACTCACAGGCGGCGGCAGAGGAAGCGAAGAGGAAGACAGCCATTATTGTGCACACAGCCGCCGAACACGTGCAATATCTCGCCACTATCGAGGCTGAGATGGAGAAGGAGGCGGCCGAGGAAAAGCAGGCACTCACCAAACAGAGCAAGGCCGTTGCACAGGAAGTGATTAGGAAGTTACAAAGGGAGTATGATGACATGAAGGCGAAGGCAGCCTTAGCTGAAGAGAGGGAGCGCAGGGCAAGGGAAGTGGCTGAAGAAAATAGGGTCAGCCAGGACGCGCAGAAGGTTTATGGCCCTCCTGTACCACCCTCGATAGCTGAAGAACGGCCGGAGGATGTGACATAGGTGCCCATGCGTGTACCGTATGGTTATAAGTTAGACATGGCTATGAATGTATACAGGAAGCGAGGAGGCGTAAGAAAACATGGAAACAGCGGTGGCTCCATCTAGAGAATCGCAGCGCAAGTCGAGAGAATCAGATGTACTGGCCTACATCTTCACCTCAAAATGCGCTGACAGTCAATGCCAGGGGCTGTTTTGAGCATACACAGGTCTGTGTGTTTGAGATGACAAGTTGATAGTGGCCTGGGAATTGAATTAAATGGTACAGAAACTAAATGAAGATGCAGACGTGCAAGCGGGAGAGGCACCGCACATTAGAAGAACTGTATTGGTTGGCGGGCCGTACAGCCTGTGATGCCACAGTACCCGCTCATTAGCACAAGATATAGGTAAACGAGAACGTCACAAGCACAAGATATATATAAACCAGAACGTCTCGAGCACAAGAAATAGGCAAACGAGAATGTGACAACAAATGCGGATGTGTTGCTGTCGCTTACAAGTTTCTTGTTGGGTTTCAATGGAGCGGTCGGAGGCCGCAGTATGCGTGCGAACACGCGCACGCGCGTTAGGGTGAGCGAGGATGTGGGTAAATGTGTATTTTTGAAGTTGTAATAGTCACTATCAAGTTTTGGTATACTCCCGAACAGAAAGCTCGGCGAAGTGCATACCTGTAACCAGTTTGAACACTCCTAGTATCTTGAGAACATGTGAGGCCGTGGACAACAGACTACGCAGTGAACGGCATGGAAACTGAAGCTTTTGTTCTCACAAGCCATACGGGCTATAAATCAAGCCCACGGGAGTCTTATAATTGGTATGTGGCGACATTTCAAATTTTGAGTTTTAATGACACGTGACGATCGCCACAATTCAGAAAAACATATAAGCTGTGTAGGGCATATCCAAACTACGAGTCGATGTGGCTCCACCCTTTCTGCCTGTTTAGTTCGTTCAGATTAAAACCGTGTCTTTGTTGTATGCATTAAAAATCACCTCTTTCCAGATTGGCTCCCGGGTGTTTACTCATGAGCATGCTACGGGTATACTACTAGCTCGAACTTATTAACTTATCAACTTATAAACAAAGTGCGTATTTTTGGTTTGTAGTTATAATTGACTAACAGATTAGTTGCTGATTGCATGTATTCTATTCAGCACACGCGCAAAAAACATACATCCGAGCGCATGCAGCGATAAATAACAACACAACACGTATAATATAGGCTACAGCCGGATTCATTATAAAAATTCAACAATAATCACCTAACATGTAGACAGAAAATAGATCATACACATGTGTTTGGAGCAAGGTAGAGTATGAAAGCTAGCGGAAACGAGAATAATTTTGAATGAACATTGGGAGTTATAACTAACTACAGAACAACTAGTAGTATCGATGAGCGTATGATGATGAGCGTATATATTGTGACTATATAAACGCACCAGAATTACAGACAGGAGTTTGTTTCCTTGAAATTTGAAATACAAATTTGTATGAATCAACACGGTGCTTGATTCTTCGTATTTCTCTAAGATTTCGCGCCAAATAGAAATAGTAAATATAAATACCTATCTTAATGGTGATAGAAATATTGATGTATTCAGGCGACTTTGTTCTCGTTGCACGGTCGCACATGCAACATGATCCATGAGTGAACTTTGATTATATGATAGTTTTGTTTTAATTTTTCATATAATCCAGTTTAAATATATGTATATATATATATATATATATATATATCACCGATTTTTGAAGAAGCCCAAGATTGCTTCGGAATCGGTTTTGAGACCGTCTGAGTCCCACTCGACATTTTTCTTAGACAGAAAACACACTTGCTTATCTTCAACTAAATTCCAGCTTTGACACCATTCATTTTTATAGCACTCTTGTGCACAATATTGCCATCGTTCGGCGACAGTCTGGTGGTCAAGATGCTTTAGGCTTACAGTTTTATCATTATGTCCGTTCAAGACCTAACCTTTCTTTGTACTATAAAACAGACGGTCATCCCCAAAACCGACCGCTTTGAACTAAAAAGCCCAGGACGGCATTCTTATCTGTCTTTAGTTGCCCATCATCCCATCCTGTAAATATCTTATAAGTGAGGTAACACTTCAGGTTTTCCTCAATCAAGTCAAAGCTCATGCAGCCTTTGTGATTTGCACATGCCTCAAGACCTCTGTCAAACCGATCCAATGTAGTTTCGTATTCATATTTCTTCAGGTCCACCTTAATATCTTTGTGTTCATTCAACACTTGGCCTTTTGATACTTTGTAAAAAGTTTGACCCATCCCTGTAACGTCGATGCTGCCGTCGTAGGGAGCTGGATAAATATCCATGCTGGCGCTTTTGGCGCCAACCAGACCCATGGCAAGGGTCACAGTAGTTAGTATATTCATGTTAGTATTTAGAACGGGTTTGAAATATAGTAGTGAAATTATTTTTTTGCACTGTACGTATTATAAAACAAATATTTAATTAAATATTGTCGTTTGTTCAACAACGTTCGTGTACAAATATTGGGCACAACCACCAAGTGGCTAACTCAAACTGGTTAATGGTTATCCTCTTGAAAGTGTACTTCTCCATTCAGCAGTCAGCACCCAGCAGCCGATCCACTCACAAATCTACTCGTCATCTACGTCTACTAGAGCGATATCTGTATGACATCACACCTTGTGACATCATACCTCATAGACTTATTGGCCTATTTATTGCAACAAAAACATGGGAGACTTTCACTTTCAAAAAGTATTGGATTTATTTTTAGTACATATTTGATATTGCTGCTGTGGCCAAACCTGAAACTTCATATTTACCGTTTAATAAGTCGCAACGCAAATAAATGATCCGTTAAGCGTTGAAAATTAAACGTATACTTCCATTTCAGTTTTATCAGCTTGTATTGAATACAATTACGTGTTTCTGAGCTTTACTGGATCAAACACCAATACTCGTTTATTTCGATACCGTATTTTAAGTATTTTTTTGTGATAGCAGGTGACAATACGCGTGACACTTTACTTTGACTCATCGCCAATCCGCTCATGACGTTTCTTTTCCTAAAATGAACAAAAAAAATTTAATAGTCTTTTAAAATGGGCTCTGACTCGCTTAAAACCAAATAAATATTGTTTGTCTTTCGTTCAATAATGGTCATATATTATTTACAAATATTGTGAAAAAACGAATGGTTCAATATTATCTTGTCCATGGTTTTGAAATGGTTATTCTGATATTCTCTCTTGAAAGTTGAAACTTTGTAGGTTGATATGAACTTTTCCTTTTCCACCCAGGAATGTACGCAGTAGCCGATCTACTCTAACTTCCACTCACTACCAAAGATCCACCTCTTGGTGAATCACATCGAGTGACATCATAAGATGTTGATTGGTCTGTTCGTGATCGAAATTTAGATTTGAATAAATAATCTAACAAAAAATAAATATATATATATATATATATATGTATACAATTGTTTATATTTTTATATTTAACAAAAATGGAAAAGACCCAAAAACTGAGAACTCCAAAAGGGATATTTATGTTTGCCGTTTGGTGACATAGTGGGCGCTGAGAAGATTCCAAAATTTAATATATAGAGAAAAACTCGCACACCGGCAACGTTGAATATTCAACAAAGCCAGAGACTGATCAATAGCTATAAATATGTGGGCGAGTCTTTTCCAATTTTTAAACCCTAAAACAACAAACCTCCTATTTCTCTCTATGGACAAATACAATAATTCAAAATGATTAGTATTCTGACAACTCTTACTCTTGCAGCCAGCCTTGTATGTGCAAGAAGAGCTGGTATCAACATTGGTTAGCTCCTAGTGACTGTAGCATTGACGCTAGGGGTATAGGCCGAACCGTGTACAGGACCAATTTGGGACATGTGGTGCACGACCACAACAACGTTACTGTTAATCTAGAAGACTACGAACATGAAACAACACTGGGCCGCTTTGAGAGATGCTTGAAGGCGTGTGCCAACCATAAAGGGTGCATGAGCTTTGACTTGGTCGAGGATAGGATGAAGTGCTACCTCTCGTCAAGGCTGTTTCAGGTGATGATGACAAAGGACTTAAGACAGATGGGAATGCCGTCTTGGGCTATTTCGTTCCAAATGAGCATCATCTACTGAATGACAAGGGCTGGGTTACTTGGAGTGGAAGTCAGTCGGTCGGTACCGGAGATGATCGTCTGCAGTATGATTTCAACACTGGGTACGTTGTGCATGGACATAAAGATAAAACTGTTAGCTTGAGGCATTTGAGTAAGAAAACGCTCGCCAACCGTTGGGAGTATTGTGCACAAAAACCCTAAACCCTAAACCAGAGCTAGGATCTGGTTGAAGACAAACAAGAGTGCTATCTTTCCAAAAAAAAAAAGTTGAAAATGACATGGACGGGCTCAAGACCGATCCAGAGGCTATCTTGGGCTACTTTGTGGACCGAGACTATAATAGTAAGCAGTTCAAATAAGTATTGTACGGTAATTTCTTCTAATATCCTGCATATTCGAAAGCTCAGTCGTCTATTTTTGAATAAAGTGAGCATACCTTAGCTACACCTTCACACGAGAAATAAAACATGATACGATTCAAATCAAGAGCTTATTAATATTTGGGAGCACCAGTGGCAGAACCGCCT